GTTTTGTCACGTCCGCATCTACCTGTCTGCTGTGTATGCTAGCTGTCACGTAGGCTTGAATCAGCATCTCTATAAGGCATCCTACAAAGTACAAATAAAGGAGCAACAACATCCTGACCTTTTGTTAGGGCAGTGACAGCCTGTCTGCAGGGCTATGTGATGACCTCAAGTGGGGCCTATGGCTTCAGATCCTGGCTGCCACACCATATAGAAATATGGGCCCACATACTGCAGGCAGGGCTGTGGAGCAGTGGTGTACTGCAGGCAGGACTGTGGAGCAGTGGTGTACTGTAGGCAGGGCTATGGAGCTGTGGTGTACTGTAGGCAGGGCTGTGGAGCAGTGGTGTAACTGTAGGCAGGGCTGTGGAGCAGTCATGTACTATACTGCAGGCAGGGTTGTGGAGCAGTGGTATACTGTACTGTAGGCAGGGCTGTGGAGCAGTGGTGTACTATAGGCAGGGCTGTGGAGCTGTGGTGTACTGTACTGTAGGCAGGACCGGCCAGCAGGGCCATCTTGCAGGGGCTGGGTGAGTAGCCATGGTGTTCTTAGAGCTGAGTCACTAACTCTCCAGAAACAAAAGCACAATGCTATTTTAATTCTGTCTTTTCTTCTACAAGTAAGGTTGGGATTCCTCTAAAGGGGAAACCTCCATTTAGTTGCCCTAAGTAGCTGTTATAGAGGAGATATGGGATGTGTGTTTGATTTTGCTTTTAGGGTTTCTCACAACATGGAAGCTGGCCTTCCCATCACCAGGGCTTTAAGAGAAGGGACAAGCATAAGGAGAGAGCCAGGAAGATAGAAGTTACGGTCTTTTGCAATCAGCCCCAGGTTACTTGGGCTGTCTGTGTTCTAGTCCTTGGAAGTGACTCTCTAGGTTCAACCTACAGCAAGGGGAGGGGAGCTCAGAGGGTGTGAGCATTGGGACCATCCCCAGTTGTTTGGGGACTTGCCTTCCCTCAGTCCTAGTGATCTGTAGTGGCCCTGCTTTCTTGAGAACGTTTAGGCATTTAGATTGAATCATTTCTTTAGGAAGCCCTGAGTTCTTTTTCTGGCAAATGGGGTGTTTAGAGGCTATTCTTTGACCAGATGATTCTAGATCTTTTCAGTAGTTATATATCCCTTATCTGAAGCATTTGGGAATTAGATGGGTTTCAGAATTTAGATTGTTTGAGATATTGAAATGTTATCATCCACAGAGTAAAATACCTTGCAAGCTGGACGTGAGACTAATCATGAGATTCACTTAAAGGTAGTTTTGTACAATATTTCATGTGCCTGTCAATGAGGTCAAGTGTGAAATTGCCACTTGTCGCATCATGTCAGGGTTCATGAGACTTTCTAGTTTGGAACATTTTGGATTTTAAATTTTCATTTAGGAATGTGCAACCTATATTTTTTCCTCCCACTCCCTCTTCCTCTCCCTCTTTTTATTCCTCTCCTCTTCTGACTCACCTTCTTTTTTTTCTTCTTTCCCTCTCCCCATCCCTTTATTTTTTTAAATTTAGATTAAAGCTCATGCTGTTATTTCCCATTCAGAATCCATATCTCATCCATCTTGTGTTTGTATGTATATATATATTTATTTATTTATTTTTGGTTTTTCGAGACAAGGTTTCTCTGTAGCTTTGGAGCCTGTCCTGGAACTAGCTCTTGTAGACCAGACTGGCCGCGAACTCACGGAGATCCGCCTGCCTCTGCCTCCCAAGTGCTGGGATTAAAGGTGTGTGCCACCATTGCCCGGCTGTTTGTGTTTATTTTTAATCTACTAGGTTTACTGGCAGTAGCTTCCAGTGATACCAGCATAAGTATTCATGAATTATCTCACAGTATACAAATAAAAATCTTAGAATGACCACCAGAGATAACTGATTCTATCACATTGCGTAGTCAGAATCCTTTATGCCCTGTGGAAATGTTCTTCCACTGTGGTACAAAGTTTGATTCATTATTTTCAACTTCTTTTGAATTTTAGATTGTTTAAACAAGTTTATTTTTGCATTCATTAATATTCAAAGAAATCTTGCTCTTGTTTTGCCCTTCTCTCCAATTTTCTTCTTTATCCAGATGTAGCCTTTGGAAAAAGGCTGAGGTTGTCCTTTTGCTTTCTTTTTTTGTCATTTTTTATTGACTTTTATTGAGCTCTACATTTTTTCTCTGCTCCCCTCCCTGCCTCTTTTCTCCCCCTTTCAACCCTACCCCAAAGTGCCCATGCTCCCAATGTTCTCAGGAGATCTTGTCTTTTTCTATTTTCCACTTCCCATATAAATCATATCTATGTAAGTCTCTCTTAGTGTCCACATTGTTGTCTAAGTTCTCTGGGATTTGGGTTTGTAGGCTGACTTTCTTTGCTTTATGTTTAAAAACCACCTGTGAGAGAGTACATGTGAAAATTGTCTTTCTGTGTCTGGGTTACCTCACTCAAAATAATGTTTTCTAGTTCCATCCATTTTCCTGCAAAATTCAAGTTGTCATTATTTTTTTCTGCTGTGTAGTACTCCATTGTGTAAATGTATCACATTTTCCTTATTCATTCTTCGGTCGAGGGGCATTTAGGTTGTTTTCAGGCTCTGGCTATGACAAATAATACTGCTTTGAACATAGTTGAGCATTTGTCCTTGAGGCATGATTGAGCATCATTTGGATATATACCCAAAAGTGGTATTACTGGGTCTTGAGGGAGGTTGTTTCCTAATTTTCTGAGAAATCCCCACACTGATTGTACCAGCTTGCATTCCCACCAGCAATGCAGAAGTGTTCCCTTTTCCCTCCAACCTCTCCAGCATAAGTTGTCATCAGTGTTTTTGATCTTGGCCATTCTTACAGGTGTAAGATGGACTCTCAGAGTTGTTTTGATTTGCATTTCTCTGATGACTAAGGATGTTGAACATTTCCTTAAGTGTCTTTCAGCCATTTTGCATTCCTCTGTTGAGAGTTCTCTGTTTAGGTCTGTACTCCATTTTTTTTATTTGATTATGTGTTCTTTTGGTGACCAATTTGTTGAGTTCTGTGTATATTTTGGAGATCAGACCTCTGTCTGATGTGGAGTTAGTGAAGATCTTTACCCATTCTATAGGCTGTCGTTTTGTCTTGTTGACCGTGTCCTTTGCTTTACAGAAGCTTTTCAGTTTCAGGAGGTCCCATTTATAGATTGTTTCTCTTAATGTCTGTGCTGCTGGGGTTATATTTAGGAAGTGGTCTCCTGTGCCAATGCATTCAAGTGTTCTTTCCACTTTCTCTTCAGTTCAGTGTGGCTGGCTTTATGTTAAGGTCTTTGATCCATTTGGACTTGAGTTTTGTGCATGGTGATAGAAATGGGTCTATTTTTATTCTTGTACATGTTGATATCCAGTTATGCCAGCACCACTTGTTAGATATGCTTTCTCTTTTCCATTTTGTATTTTGTACTTCTTTGTCAAAAATCAGGTGAAGATGTGTGGATTGATATCTGGGTGTTCTTTTCAGTTCCATTGGTCCTCCTGTCAGTTTTTATGCCAGTACCAGGCTGTTTTCAGTACTGTAGCTCTGTAGTAGAGTTTGAAGTCAGGGATTGTGATGCCTCCAGAAGTTCTTTCATTGTACAGGATTTTTTTTTTTAGGCTATCCTGGGTTTTTTGCTTTTCCATATGAAGTTGAATATCATTCTTTTGAGGTCGTTGAAGAATTTTGCTTAAATTTTGATGGGCATTGCATTGAATCTGTGGATTGCTTTTGGTAAGATTGCCATTTTTACTATGTAAATTCTGCCTACCCACGAGCATGAGAGAGCTTTCCACTTTCTGGTGTCTTCTTCAATTTCTTTCTTCAAAGATTTAAAGTTCTTGCCATACAAGTCTTCCACTTGTTTGGTTAGAGTTACTCTAAGATATTTTATGCTGTTTGTGGCTATTGTGAGTCCTTTTGCTTTCTACGTACAAGTAATATCATTGTACATACATTCTCTTTGGATTTGGGATGGGGTTTTGTCCCTAAGCCTATTATAAGTTAAGAATATAATAAATCAAAATTCTCTGAGTATATTTAACATACAGAGCCTTCCATTTTGTTAACACAGTACAATATGTTGTATAGACCATAGGGTATGTGCTATTCCCCTTGTGATTTCATGGCCAGCTGGCATCCATGTCTTGCTGCTGCTGCTGCCTGACATCACTGGAGAGTACTGGGTTGTATATCTCTAGCCTAGGAAATGACAAAACTTCAGAAGTGAAGTTAGGATTAGTACTGAATGTCTTTTACTTTCTCTTCAGAATATAAAATGCTAAAATCAGATCATAAAAGGTGACGACTACCTGTGTGATTTACTCTGCCCTGCATTCTACTGAAATCATGTGTCCTGGTGACCATGCCACAATGTTGTCCAGAGATGCTTTTCAATTCTTTTAATTGGCATATCATTCTTTAATAAAGAGAAACAATCTTTTTTTCTTGTTGAGATGTGGTCAATCTATATAGCCCAGGCTGTCCTTGAATTCCTGGTCTTCCTGCTGGGATTACAGACCTAATATGTAGAGCTGTTCTAGAGAATTATGCTAATCAGAATTTCCCTGACTTCCTGATTATTACTTTGTAAGAAGTCCAGTTCCCAATAAATCTAACAAGATGGCCAAAGGAGGGGCAGAACCCTGTTTGCTCTTCGGAGCAGCCCACAGTTGTGGCCATCCCAGCTTTTGACTTGGTTTTCATCCAGGCTGGTAGGGCTGCCTTCTGCATGATCAGCCCTTCATGGTACCTGGCATTTTTCTTGCTGACTTGTCTTACAGTTAGAAACTCTTCCAGAATTTGACATCACATTTTTGTTAGTCATAGTTTCTGATGGTGGCATCTGTGTTATGTGTCTTCATGTTTATAGTCTTAGCAAGAATTTGGGATCAGTGCTATCTGGGGTTACTTTTCAGATGTCATTTAAAATCGAAGACCCTTGTGTGAAAAACAGGTGAAACAGGTTTATTTTAATATAATCTTTTGTCTCCTAACCCACACTCCTTTATTTATGTTTCAGAGAAAAGGACCTGGAAGCCAAGTTTATCATTCAAATGGAGAAAAGCAAAACGACAATCACAAACTTAAAGGCAAGTGATGACCCTGCCCTGCTGTAGTTCTGAGAGCTCCACACTTGCCCTCTGGGAAGGTGGTACAGATGAGGAAGCACCTGACCCTTCTGTACCCTGAGTTGACTGCCCTGACCCAGTGCAGTTAGCAGTGTCTGCATGCTCTCTGCTGAGGCTTAGCCCTGAAGCTGAAGCATTGGTCTGGTCCCGGTGCCTTTCCTGCCTCAATTTTATCTGACCTGAAAGTCAAACTCAAGCTGTTTCCCTGCTCTGTGAGTTCCTATGGTAGACAAGGACCTGGCATTTCTACCCTATATTCCAGCCTGATAGTTGTCTGTATTCTGTGGTGTACTGGACACATCTTGAGACAGGACTTGTTTGTTTTGAGAACAGGATCTCAGGTAACCCAGACTGGACTCAAACATGGATTGCTGTGGGACAATGGTCTGTACCCTGTCATTTGTATTTTAAATAAATGCTAATTGGCCAGTAGCCAGGCAGGAAGTATAAGCGGGGTAACTAGGCAGGAAGTAGAGGCAGAGCAACAAGAATTCTGGGAAGAGGGAAGTTTTAGTCTGCAGTTGTAACATGAGGGCCGGCTTGTTGGGGTTTCTGTCCCGCCCAGTACCCCAACAAGCCAGCAAGTCCCAAGGAAAATCACACGGAGTCTACATCAGGTTATAAACTGATTGGCGCATTAGGTCAGGCTTCTTGTTAACTCTTATAACTTATGTTACCCCATTATCCTTATCTATGTTAGCCACATGGGCTCAGTACCTTTCTCAGTGTGACAGCTTACATGTTGCCTCTTCGGTGGTCTGCCCAGGAGTGGCAGAGGAACTTCCCTGCTTCCCAGAATTCTCCTGTTCTCATTGCTCCACCCCTACTTCCTGTCTGGCTTTCCCGCCTATACTGCCTGCCTGGCCAATCAGCATTTTATTAAAATATGATTGACAGAATACAGACAATTCTCCCGCACCATGCAGTCGCCACCCAGACAGAGAAGAAGCCAGTCATAGAACAAGCAAGATGTGACTGCCTCACTGAAAAAGGTACCAAGCCATGTAGTTAACATAGACAAAAATTATGGGCTAATATAAGTTATAAGAATTAATAAGAAGCCTGAGATATTAGGTCAACCAGTTTATAATTAATGTAGACCTCTGTGTGTTTCTTTGGGACTAAATGACTGCGGGAACCAGGTAAGACAGCAAACCACAGTCAACAATGGATGAATATGACCTTAAACTTCTGATTCTCCTGCCCCATCTCCTCAGTGCTAGGATTGTATATGTGTACCATGTCCTACCTGGTTTATGCTATGCTAGGGATCAAACCCAGGTCCTCATGCGTGCTAGCCAGACACTCTTAACAACTGAACTCTATCCCCTGTTCTTTGTTTTGATTTTTTAAAAACGTGAATCCGTCATGTATTCCGATCTTTGATGATCTGACAACTGTTGTTTATTATTAGCTGAAAGCAATGAAGCTTAAAAAGGGAACAATAAAACTGCATACTTTCTGGAAAAAAATTAGATGAAAAAATTTCACAATCTTTCAAAATGGTAAATTCTTCATTTTTCCTTTAAAATATACTATTTATTTCATTAGCACACTGGATAAGGATCTTGAATGTTTTTCACTCAAGGAGGGAGCAAGGGTATAAAAGTAATACAAAAGATATCATGTGCTTTTAGGGCTTAGTGCCCTTCAGTGTGGAGGTAATGGTTTCTGAGGTCTACTGCTCCATGACCAAGTGCACTATGAATTGATTTCTATTAACTCATGGTCCCGAGCAGTGGCTACTCTTAAGACTGCTTTCTAAGTAGTACAACTTGATCCCCAGAAACAGGAATGGGAATAGTACTACTTTCCCAGGGAGCATGTGTTGGGGTGTGGCTGTCCCTTTGCTTGAGGAGTTCTGTACTAGACTGCTTTCCTCCCATACTTATCAGAGTCTTCAGCACAACATGACACTCTCTGGCCTAGCCTGAGCCTTTTTTCTTTGACTTGCGTCATCTTCTTAGGCTGGTTCAGTTCTGTCTACCTCCTTCCTGTAGTGACCTTTTCTTTGCTTCATGCATCTGTGTGCTCATAGTGCTTTGGCTGAACCCTTTTTGCATGTATATCATGGAATCTATTTTCCTTGATTACTCTGTTGCTTTTTGTGTTTTATACATATTTCTTTCTATGATAATTGAGTAACTAGAATAGATGTCAAATCTATCTGTCTATCAATCTGTCAGTCTATCAGTCTATCTGTCTGTCTATCTATCTATCTATCTATCTATCTATCTATCTATCTATCTATCT